GTTGTAGATGTTATGGTGGTAAACGGCAATTTAGACTTTTTAGACTTTTAGACTTTCTTCTAGAAAAGGTCAACGTCCAAAAGTGCTCAACTTGGAGTTTGAGTATGGTGACTCACCCTCAAACTGCTCTCCCCTCCCCCACCGCGGCTAGGCTGCTATATTCCAGAAGACAGTCTAAAGGTCTAAAAAGTCTAAACCGCCGTTCACCACCATAACATCTACAACATCCAAAATTAGCACCATCACACCTTGATGTTTGTTCTTCGATAGAATAAGGATACCATCAAGAAAAGAGAATGTAAATGTCCAATGAAAATAACAGCATCTTTTCGACTTTAATGAATTCATTATCTATTTTCTTTAAATAGACCTGCTATTCAAATTTAATTTGTAATGTATAAATTTATTATAAAGAAAAACATGAGTCTAAATCATTTATGAAAAAAAGAGTTCAAAATCAATAACAATAAAGATATTTATATATCTGTTAAACATTAAAAATCAAAATGGACGGCAAAAAAAACAATTAATCTACATCGTTTTCACATCAATCTCATCTAGAAAAACTAGCCACTAATAATGTATACACATAAAAAATTCACAATGAACACAATTTTTAATCTACTATTTTTGTTATAAATACAGGAAAATCATACAAACATTTATATCTGACCAATATTTAAAAGACTTTTATCCATAAATCGACGACGAACAAAACACAGCCACCACTACAAAACAAATGAGATAATTAAATACAACATTGTTTAACAAAATTAAATATGCCAGTGTTGTCTATCACTTACCTTTGACGGTTTATCTGTTGTTGAATCAATAACTCGATCTAAAATTCTTTCACTACATTCTTGTCTTAACTGTTGTAAATATTCTTTCATTCGATCTACAATATATCAATCAGTTTATACGAATTTATTCTCAAAATTGAAAATTGAAACATACCCATTTCATTGTGAGACGGTTTAGTAAACATTCCATTCAGTGGAAAATCAGAATCGCCTGGTGTTGGAAATGTCGAGATAGCTAATGCTGATAATTCTTTTTGAGCTTGAATACGGGATTGACACTTTGAAAAATGAAAATAAAAACTATTAACATACAATAGTAGCTTTATTAATTATTATTTACCTTTTGTAATCGACGCAAACACTCTGTTATATATAATGTGAGATAGATCAATGTTCGATCAGCATCATTCTGAAAATATATATAATTATTATAATTTTTTACGGAATACGACTAATACGTTCGTCGAGAGCTATATTTTCTATGAACTTTAAATCAGGGTAAAAACACTGTTTCCAACTATTAAGAAGACTAGTTTAAATCGAATAGTTGTCAGATAGTTGAATTAAAATATTTAAAATTATGATAAAATCACTTACTTTTATATCATAATTACGAAAGAAAATGTTTGCTCGAAAATATTTTAATGCTTCATCAATGATATCTTCATTTTCAATAGCTACAATAGAAAACAAATGATGACATGTCTAATTTATTCTATAAATAATTTGCTTACATGTTTCACTCGGTGCTGGTCCTTTAAAACGTGTTCTTATTGGTAACACTGCCATGTTGCCAAGGCGAAATTTAGTATTTGAAAATTGTGAATGATAAGCCTGAATTTATATAGATTAAACTTTACGTACTTCACAGGGCGAGAGAAATATCTTACCATTATTAATATTCAAACGAGAAATAAAATGAGTAATATTCTGATGAAATCTAAAATAAATATGATCTAGTATAAAACAATCCTGAGTGATGAATATACAAAGGTGTTTTATCATAGAGAGTCAGTCATCTTTTCAAAAATTTGACCTTTTTAACCACAAAACAATAGTCAATACATTACACTAGATATTACTAACAGAAAAAAAGATTACTCTTCTTTATTGACGTTCAAAAACAAGAAGAAAAAAAAAAGATCAAATAGAATGATTTGGTTTCGGGATGTTTGATTACAAATAAAAACTACACCGAAAGAAGAAACGAGAAAATATACAACAAATCATTTAAACGAATCTTAGTTGATTACTCTTTTTAAACATGAAAAATGCATACAAATAAACATGTAAAAAAAGTGAGATAATAAATAGATAAATAAATAAATAAATAAAATTGAAAAATAAAGCCCTATACCAAGTAAAAGGGATAACAAAACGAAGAAATAGCACCAGAATACAATCAAGATTTTAAAAGATCTTTGAGTATGGTTGATGAGGATGACTCTGAAGGTAGGTGAGAATTAGTCGTTGTAGTTGATGAACTAATTATAACAGGCGAAAAAATTTGTTGATGATTAGTACTGAGACTACCATTATTATCGGGAGTTAATTGTTTTAGATGTGGTGTACTATTTAGAAATGGATTTGTAGCTGATAAAGGTGGTTTAGAAAGTAAACCTCCTCCATTCGATGCATTAGTTTTATTTGAATGCATACTCATATAGTCTTCGGTATTAAATTTAGCTCGAATGGAATCGGTGCCAGATTGTTGATCGACATATTGAATAAGTAATTCGGTAAAAGACTAAATAAACAAGTTATATACTTTAATTTACACGTCTGAAAAGTAATGCTGGATACTTACTTTATTCGGATCGTATGACGGAGTGGCTGATTGTGTTCTTGTTCTAGCTGTATTTGCTTCACTACCACCTGAAAACCATCCTCCTAACCATCCATTGGCACCACTAGACATCTGACCATGCATCGTCTGTTCAACAGCTTTTTGATATTCATCTTGTGTAAATCCAACAAGTGCTCCTAACAACGGTATAACTTCCTGTCGTTTATTTGGAGGTGTATGAAAATAACTTAGTAGAATATTTTTAACTAAATGTTTTTCTACTCGAGTTACATTCGATATATTTATATCTTTTAACTGTTGTTCAAACTGTTTTAATAATATTTCTTTATTTTGAATTTCTTGTCTTAATGCACTTATTAATTGATCTTTTTTTTCCATTTGTTCTGTTAAACGCTTAGCTGCACCTAATGCTTCATCGTATTCGGCTAATTTTGAACGAATTTCACTATTTTCTTTTGTTAATGTTGTCGCAATTGTCGTTTGTTCACGTAATGCGTCATGATAACGTTTCAAATTTTCATTAATATATTGATCACGATCTGAAGGAGAAAAAAATAGAGATATCTAATTTGATCAATCAATCTTCAAATGGTTCACAAATTTATTTATTTAGTGTAAAAATTTGTTTTTACCTCGTTGAAATTGTTCTAATACGGTTTGTAAATTATTTGTACATTTTGTTTGATAAATTAATTGATTATTTAATGTTGTGTTTTGAGCTTCTAATTTAGAATATTCATATTTCAATTTTCCTAATTCATTGGCTAATGTTTGTTTACTCGATTCACATGTCGAATTTAATTGATTTATTATTTCTGTTTGTTGTTTTACTTGTTCATCTAATGTTAACATTTGAGTACGAAGAGTTTGTTCACGTTCTTCACTTTGTACACCTTCAATTGTATATGATTCTTCAATTGTTAACAAATGAGAACGTAAACGTTCATTTTCTTGAGCATATCGTTTTTCACGTTCATCATATTGATTCAACTAAAATGAATGATATACATATCATTTTGTATGAATATTCATAGAAGCAAAATAGATTTACTGTATATCTCAATTGTTCAATTTCCAATTGATATTTCTTCATTTCAATCATCGCTTGATCTCTCTCATACGTTAATCGTTTACATTCCGTTTGTAATAGATCTAAATTATTTTGATGTGTTAATTGATCAATTTTCTCATATAAAACACTTTCATTTGTTTTCATATCAAAGTTCATTTGTTCAAATAGTTTTAACTCTGTTTCATACTCATTTAATTTCAATTGTAAACGTTGTTCTTGTTCAATAAGCGTTTGTATATAGATATTTTTTTCTTGTACAATTTTTTTTAGCTGTTCATAATCTTCAGTATTCTTTTTTTCATGATAGAGTAAATTTTGATATGATGTTAATTCGTTTTGTGTTAACAGATACGCTTCTTGTTTTTGTGTAAGTAAAGATTGTACTTGTTGATAATCTACTTGTAATTGAGAATATTTTGTATTTACATCATTGTATAGTTGAACAAAACGATTATATTCGGAATAATAGAGTAATGATTCCTCGTGTTGACGTTTGGAAAATTCTATTAATTGATCATACTCCGATTTCAATTGCATATATTCGTTTTGTTGATCATGCTGTTCTATTCCTAAAGAAAAATAAAATAATGTATCGCGTGATCATATTTTAATTTTGAAGAAAAAACAACGTTTACGTGGAGTTTGTTGTTTTAGCTGTTGAATTTCTTGTTCTCTTTCACAGACAAGTTTAGCCATGGCTTGTAAAGCTTCTTTTGTCATATCTTCATTTTGATCATTTTGATTCGTCCCTTCAGCGTTAGGCGAAGTTCCTTGTAAGGGTAAAACAGTCAATGGTTGTTCTTGTTTTTCTCGTTCTAATTCGGTTAATCGTTCAATAAAATAAAGTTTTTCCTTTTTTAAACTAGAATTTTCTCGTAATTTTTCATCAAAAATATTTCGAATATCATGTAATTCAATTTGTTTTAATTCTCGTTCCAAATCATATTGTTTTAATTGTTTTTGTAAAACTTCAATTTGTTTTAGATTTTCAATGTTAAGTTTTTCTTGTTGTTGATATTGGATTAATTCACGATCTTTTTCTGATAAAATGCTTGTTAATAATTCATTTTGAGCAATCAATTGCTGTTTTTCACCTGGTGTACTTGATACGTACGTCGACGATGTAACAGACTGACTTCGAAGAGCTAAATGAGAGAAAAATCACGATTAAACTGTAGTAAGAATATAAAGAGGAGAGAGCTAACCTAATGGTACAGATTGTCGATGTTGTTGTTGCTCCAATATTTTTCTTAATTCTTGTTCCGCTCTCAACTCATCATCATCTTCAATATGGTCGAGCGTAAGTGTATCTAATTCATTATCGTGTGATGGAGGAAACAGAGGATGCTGCTGTTGTAATCCAAATAATTTTTTTTCTCTTAAATCAAGATCAAATTGTAATTTTTCTAAGTCATCATTTTTTTCTGATAATATTTGTTTTAAATTTTCTAATTCTTGATGTGTAATAGACATTGTATCCATTTGTTGTTGAACATATGTGAACCATTTTTCAAATAAATTTAAAAATTTATCTGCCAATGAAGATGATAACTCATCATGATGGTCAAAAATAATATCGCTGAATTCGGAAGGTAGTTGTTCAACTATTTGATCATAAACTAGTTGAAATTGTTTTAATTTTTCTTCATTCGCTAAAGTTTGTGCTTCAAAATCAAGAAGGCGTTCGAACGTTTGGGGACTTGGTGAACGAGCACGATTGGTTGGTGACGGAGGTGGAATCGTTGAATTAAGCGTCTAAATGAATGTGACACTGAATAGTTTTCTTTTCATTACAAACTCACAAATGTGTGTATAAAAAAGATATGAAAGTTTTATTCTGCAGGTAAAAACTACTAGTCATTAATCTTTGCTATTCCTGTTCGATGAAATATTTGCCTTCATCTAGCTAAACTCATGCATAATAAAACATTGACTTCTATTAAATTTGTATCCATGCTTCCAAGTAAGCCGTAATTTGATGATGCCATTCTATGAATCAAACAAAAAATTCAAACGACCAAAGAGTTTTAAATCCTTAATCTTCATTTTGTTTTTCGAACATATAAAATGGCTTAATACAAATAAATCTTTTTATTGAACATACACGATATTTAACAGTGAAAAGCTATTTTCCGATATATTTCTTACTTGTATTTGTTGTTCAAAATTCTGTATTTGTTTATCTTTTTCTCGCACTAATTCTTGTAAATCACTTAAACTCGATTGTTGTTGTTCATTTTCATTTTGTAATGACTGAATATCTTCGTTTGACTGAATAAGTTGTCTTTCTAACATTTCGCGTAGGCCCAATTCAAATTTTAGTTGATCATCATTTTCTTCATGTTTTACTAGAATTGTTTCTCGTGGTTGTTGTGCTTCTTCTTTTAACATTTTTATTTGCTCATTTAAACTTTCGATCGTCAACTCAAGCATATTCTTGTCATCCTGAACGCTATTTAAATTTTCAATCAACTGTTTTTCTCTCAAAATCATCTCTTCAGTATTATCTAAGTGATCAGACATGAATGGTGAGGTGCTTCGTTCTTGAAGATTATTTTTAAGTTGCAGTAAATCAGAATATTTCTTTTCATAATCTTCATTTTGTCGTGATAATTTATTCATATATTCCAGCGCTTCATTTCGTTCGTTTAACTCTGAACGAGTTTCTTCTAATAGACGACATATTCCTTCGTAATCCGATGATAATTGTTCACAACGTTCACGTTCTTCAGATAATAAATCAGCTTGATCTTCTTGTTCTTTATTATCAATTTCAGCTAAATATAGAGAAAAGCTCGTAGAAGATAAACATACTGTGTACAAATTTTTCTTTAAGAAAATGTTTAATTGGCGATTTACTTTGTTGTTGTTTGTCTTGTGTTTTTCGCTGTTGTTTTTTGGCATATTTTTGTCTAGTATCATCTAATTCTTGTTGTAATGTTGTTATTGTTTCTTCATACTCGTCAATTCTTTGCAATTGTATTTCATAATTGCGAATTTTTATTTGACTACGTTGTAATTCATCGTTCATCTGAATTAATTTTATATTTAATTGATCATGATCATTTTTAAGTGAATCATAATTTATTTGTAATTCATTTAAATCAAATTGTGGTGTCTGTTGTTGTTTCAATTGATCACTATACCAAGATAATTTTTCATTTGCTTGTTCAAGTTCTTGGGAGAGTAATTCTTTATCAACATCGTCCTATTTATTGATGACAGATCCGACTAGTGTGTAAAATACATCATAGTCTTTGGTACTTACAACATCTTTTTGTACTTCTAGATTTTTTCGAAATTCAACACTTTCCGCTTCTAAAAGAGGAAAAACACAAACAAGAGAAGTATAAATGAACGTTCATCTCTACTAAATACGTACGGTCATTCCAATCTTCTAATTCTTGTATTCGTTTTTTTAATTTTGCTATTGTTTGTTCATATTGTTCACGACATGTAGCAATTTGTTCAGCATACACTTGTTCTACAGCAATAACGTCTTCTTCTCGTCGGCGCTAATAAGAGCAAACAAAGAAACAAAAGTATATTTAGTGCCTAATAAAAGCAAATTGAATACAAACCGAATCTTTCGCAAATTGATTGGATTTTAATGTTTTTCTTAAATTCGCTGTTTCATTACGTAAATGAACGTTTTCATCTTTCAATTCTTTAATTATTCGTTCATATTTAATAAATTCTGATATCTTAGGTTGATCATCTGCGTGTGAAAAGAAAAAACAGTACGTAGAAACGAAACAACAGAGAAAAAAATCATTTTACCCTCTTCAAGGAGGTCTGTCCATGTGTTTTCATTATTACTATTACTGACAAACGTTTGCTGTTGATCAGCCCGAAGACGCCGTAGCTCATTCTATACAAAAAAAAATCACACTAGTATTGTGAGATTTGTCTAAGCGCAATCAATTTTCCAATTAAAATTATCAGCCAAGCTGTTGTCCGTTAGCGCTAATGACGTTTCAACTATCCTAGGATGCCGTCATCTACTTTTAGATTGATTAATATTCCTCTTTCTAACTAAACATTTCTCGCCACACCTACATCTTTCTCTTCAATTGTTCTACGACTCTCAGCTAACAACATGTCAGCTTTGATGTCTACTGCTTGTTTTTGCATGGTCAACTCGTCACAACGTTTTTTTAATGATATACACTAAAGAGAAAAAGTATGGTGAATGATCTTCAGATAGTTAAGAAAGTATTGAGTACATACCTCATCTTGAAATGCTTGTTGTTTCAGCTCAAGTTCTTGTATTTGATTTCTGGCTATTTTTAATTCTGTCATCGGATCACTATGTTCTTCATTTGCTACTTCTGTCAGAATATCTTTTGTCATAGTACTCAATTGACCAGAAAGATTTTGGAACCCACGTGACAGATTGCCACTTAACCAAGACATTTCGTTGCTTTGTTTAAAGGGAAGAGAATTAGGTTAAATCTCTAAAAAAGGAATGTAATAAGTTTATTTTAAAACTGAGCTTAAAGCATTTGCGTTCTCGCCGCATTCACAAAATGTTAAATAGTCAAAAGATGTCTGTTTGTTGATGCATTTTGTCAGAAAATTTTATTCGTTCTCTGGCAAAACACACTAACGGATGGACAACTAAGGTCAGCTGATCAAGTTTTTTTAAGATATAACTAAAACATCAATATAAAAAGTGACTTATCTATGGTCTGAAATTTAGCACAAAAACTTGTTTAAAAATATATTAAACATAACTAGTATTTATTACAGTTTAGTCCATTACAAAAGAAATTCTTTTTTTAATGCTGTTGCGACTAAGACTAGTTTGTTCACGTAAAGTGAGAATCATTAAGGGTCGCCTACCTGTAATAACAATGACTCGAGCCAAACTACAAAAATGGACTAGAGAAAAAAGAAAAACGAAGTTAGTGTATGCAAAATAGAGATAAAAAGGTCAAGTTAAACACAAATAAAATAACGTTAAGAGAGCAACTAACACAACTGTATGATGACTAGAAACATGGCTGAATTTTACTGTAAGAAAGACTGAGCTAGTACTTCTTTTCGAAAGCTTACTGTCTCAGTTTCACCTCACACGATGCTTTTAGTTCAACATCAACTTTTTTGGCTTACTGTACATAGAAAAAACAGTCAATAAAATGCCTTTTCGCTTTTGTTTACAGTTGCTGAAAAGACACAAAAGGGTCGTATACTTAATCACATATTCCTATAAAAAACACTATCGTCGCGGAAAAGGTTATTCGTACAAAGAGGAATACTAAAGAAAAGTCTTTCTGATCTTAGTTTAGCTTATTCAGAAAAGTGAGAGTCATCAAAGGTTCATAACCAGTACAATATCAATGATTCAAGCCAAAATAAAAATGAGATAGGGAAACAAAAATAATAATAGAAATAAACAAAAGAAAAAGAAACTAGAAAATGCAACGAGGATATAAAAAATAATGATGAAAGATAAACACAATAAAATAACGTTAGAGAAAAACAATCAACACAAGTTAATTAAGATCAGGAACACGGCTAAATTTTACTATAAGAGACACTGGAATAGGCCCTTTTTGAAAGACGTTAATGAGGAAAAAGAAATAACTGACTCGGGAAGTTTATTCCAGTCAGTAATAGTAAAATAGAAAACAGAAGAGAAAACTGTTTGAGAAGAAAAACCATTAACAGAGGTTGGGAATGTGAATATATTTAGAATGATGACAGGGTAAAGATGAGTAATGAGGACGATGAATAGAGTAAAAGATGGAAAGAGGACTAAGACAATGATAAATTTTGAAAAACTGCACGAGTCGAAAATATTTACGGCGAAATGAGAGGTTTGGAAGAGAAAGTTGTGACACAAGTACAGAGCTAGAAAGATTGATCACATCGGACTAAAAGTAGTAAATGTACATGTCGTATGTTCTCTATTACTCTACCCGCTACTTCTTGCTGGTTGTTCAACTCACTTTAGCTGATTGTTAAGCCACATTGACATGTACCATCCTAGCTTGATTTATCTCCATACTTGTCATGTGAAGCAATTGATCATCTTCGTTTAGAATTCTGCCTACGCCGTACGACTCCATTTGGTACGATTTAGGCTTGACTAGCGAATCAGAAACTGGGGCTGTACCCCGATGTCATAAAAAATATGTATTTTCAGGTCACGACATCTTTCTTCTATTTCCTGCTGGTTTAGTACACTGAATGGGTGAATTAATAGGAAAGAAGTTTTTTTATTTTATATAATATATATTACATAAAATAACATAGTATATTCAAAATTATAGAAAAGAATTTAAGTAAAATGATTTTACATACAAACAGCGAGCTTTCGACACTATCACAGTATCATCATCACTCGCTGTTTGTATGTAAAATGATTTTACTTAAATTCTTTTCTATAATTTTGAATATACTATGTTTCATTAAAAACGTAAAAAAGTCAAAAAGCATCAATATACATAAAATAAAAAAACCATATATTTTATTGAGAAGTGAATTAAAAAAACACACGGAAGAGCTATTCGCAGTCATTGTCAAATTGTATTATAAAAAAGAGGTAACAGAAAAACCACAAGAAATGATGAGACCTTATGAAGAAATCTAAAACATCATCAAAAGCTAACATCTTCTGAATGTAGGTCGATAATGGTATTTCTTTACCGCTGACCTTTTCTTTGTTGGAATCAAATAAAGTTATATAACAATCTAAAACATCCTTTATAGTTTTTTTAATTAGACTAACATTAGTTAAGATTAAACAATGGTGTGGAAATAAGATCTTATTTTTTCGTTTCATGTTTCTCGTACTAGAATAGTACACCGACATCTTTATCAGATACGTCAAGTATCAATTAAAGCTGAAAGATTTTTGTAGAAATATCAGTTACGTAAAGTCGCAGATAAAAGTTTAAGCGATTTTATATTTTCAGTTTTCTCCATCAGTTTCAAACGCTAATAAGCATCCAAATAGTGATTCGGAACCCCAGACGATGGGCAACAAAGCTGAACTGGTTTCATCATTTCAGAGTACAAGCTCTTTACCCAAGAGAAAAAGGCGTTTTTATACAGCGGACACAAGTTTAAGCAATTTTTCATTATTTTTCGTTTACTCTACAATAAACGGTTTTTTTGATGGTTTGAAAGTGTGGGGAAAAGGCCAGTTAGAAAGTAGTACAGAAATAAGTCTGAGTAGAAAGAAAGCCTAAAAAATGGACTTTCCCATGATCTTCCCTTTTTTAAAAAACCGAGAGGTTTAAATTTTAAAAATTTTAGTTTTTCAGTTTCGTCAACTTCAAAACCATCTTCAACTATACTACTGGAAAGAGCATGCAAAACTGCGTATAATTCTATAATTTCATCTATTTCTGGCAAATTTTAACCGTTTTTTAGCAAGTTTTCCTAAAATTAAATACTATAAAAACTTCTTAGAGGCTTTGGCATTAAGGAAAAACCCACGCTAAAAGTTTATTTTGCACTTGATCTGAAAGGCTACAACTTCTACAAAATAAGACGTCTCCGAGCTCTGAATGACCAAGTTTTAAGATAGTATGTACTTTTTATTAGAAGTATCGTGTTTCTTGACAAAAATCTGCATTAAAGGGGCCTCCCTCAGGAATTTGATGCTTTCTTCGAAACTGAAGTAATCACACGGTTCAGTATCCCAAAGTGTCATCTTTCAGAATTCATCTTAGTTTGTCAAAAATTCAATGTTTTTGGAGGATTTTGAAAAAGATTTCCGAAAGCTCTAAATTTCACGTTATCATAAATTTCATTTATCTAAACTTTAATCTGCGGCGATTTTTGATTTTTGTTTTCTGTGGAGAGATAAGTGGCAAATACTCCGCCGAATTTTTTAGGATTATTTTCAGAGCTCTGACTTAAAATACGTGTAGGGAATGACGAGAAGCGAACTTCAAAAATCGCCGCGGATTAAATTTTAGATATAGGTGTCTACTTTCATTTGAGGCCTCTTGCAGCTTTCTGTACCTTCCAACAAAAAAGTTATAACGCTTTTGCTAAGAGCCCCACTTTGCCCCTTGTTATGCAATAACTCGGCAGGTCTTCAACGTTTCGATTTCAAATTCTTAGCATAAGCTCGTAGGACAGTAAGCATTAGTCACTGAAAGCACCATCGAAATCGGGTGTAAGATAAAAAAGTTTTTTCCTAAGAGAGGGGCCCTTAAACAGGCGACATATTTAAAGAAAAATGAGTGTAGCGTCCTAAAGCTTGGTCCTTCAGAGCTCGGAGACGTCTTATTTTGTAGAAGAAGTTGTAGCCTTTCAAATCAAGTGCAAAATAAATTTTTAGCGTGGGTTTTTCCTTAATGTCAAAGCCTCTAAGAAAAGTTATTAAAAGAATAATGGACTGCACTATATTTTGAAATGGATAGTAGAAAAGCAAAGGTAATGATGAGAAAAGAGAACCACGTTATCAGATAAGATTGTTGAATTAAACAACAGTATTTTGGTGTGTTTAACAGTGAAAAACCGCATCCTTTTCTAAATTTTTACTTTGTCATTTTTATTCTTTATCATCTTTAACAAAAGTAATAAATCTACTCTATTTATTATATTACTGTGAAAACTAAAATAGGAAGCCCGTTGTGAGTGTGAACCGGGTTCAAAGTATTGCGAAACAAACAATATTTTCTTCATTCCGGAAAGAAGTGTTCTAATCTAAACTCTTTTGCTTTCTTGATTAGGTTTACTTTAATAGAGAAAATGAATTAATTCTATTCGACATAGAAAAATATTCGGCACATACACCAGTTAACAAAATCTAAAAAGAATTTGGGAGTGGCAACACTCAGTGAGGAAACGAATGAAAAAAATTTGTGAAAGAGCAACCACAAGAGTGCACTCCTGAAACGAGCTTCATTGTATTTCTTCATCCAAAACGTACAGACGAAAAGAATTTTCTACCTACAAAAGAGAAACTAAATGATTGTATCTGTCGGCCTGTGTGGGTACATTTGCCGGCATGTGCTGGAGTAGTCAAGTGAATGATTTTCTATTCTATCTTTGTACCGCTATTAGAAAACCTTCCTTAGACAATGATTTCTAAATCACATATGCCTGCATACGACTCAGGGGTAACCGGTATCAAAAATGCGATACTGGTACCGGTCATCGGTATAAAAACTTCGTACAGCGATTTTCTAGATGATGAGGAAGAACAATTTGAGTGAGAATGCTGATAATCAGAGACTTGCGAAATGAAAATGGTTCCTCTCGTCTCTGAACGCGTTCCTCTCCTAGCTCGGTCTCCGTTCTCAAGTAACGCGTTCTTCGACTACACTGTAAAGTCGGAAATTATTTATAGAAAATGCTCGACGATTTTCAAAAAGTCCGTATATGAAATCCTCACGGATTTTCCACATTATAGAAAACCGAATTTCCAACAATATGGAAAATCGACATCGATTTTATACATTATTGGGAATTATTTATAGAAAATTCTCAGCGATTTTCTAGATGATGAGGAAGAACAATTTGAGTGAGAATGCTAATAATCAGAGAATTGCCAAATGAAAATGGCTGAAGATAAACGTTTTCACCGTTATTAAAAGCTACTGAACTTTGAAGTTGAGTGAGGTGTATTATTTCAGCTTACTGGATGACTTTTAATAATGAAAACCAAATTCGACATCGCTCACGTGTTGAACGACTGTTATTTTATTTGAAAAATAATAAAATAAATGTGAATTGTTAGGATCATGTCTTTGAGTTAATAGAACCAACTACATTTTTGGAAGATTCAGACATAAAAATGAGGAATATTAGCAAGAGCGAATCACTTTGCGATTTTCAGAAAGTTGCGGTGGAACTCGACTTTGTCTTAACAAGGCACCTTTTCAGTACTTCTCTGTGATCTCCAAGTGTCATACAACAACAATACTTCTCGAAGAAAATCGCTGAGGATTTTATAAAAGTTAAAAAATCCTTGGCGATTTTCCAGATCGATTTTCTATAAAGTAGAAAATAATTCCAAATTACAGTGTAGTGGAACGCAGTCTCACTCTCAAAGAACGCATTCGGGAGCATTTTTCTTTGATTTGTCCGAGGTTCTACCTGGGAACCTTATGATCGGGAGTCTGATCAGTTATTATTAAGCTATCTCGCACTTATTACTTATAAGTTGAATTTCTTGTTTACATTTAATCCTTGACAGCTGCTTGGGGGTCCAACCGGATCCACGTGGCAGTTTTTTGCTTCCTACCACGCCAGTATTCTCTTTTTCGATTTGGTGCCTTTCCTAATCGCCAGTCTGCTGTTCATGCACCAGAGCTATATCAAGTTTTGCGAATAAGTCTCAGAGGCTAAAAACTGAAGTATGGGTCCACATGGACCCCCTAACAACCATGGCGTTATATTCATGACCTTCAGCCTTGTTCAAGCCACTTTCTGTCATCTTTATATTAAGAACGAACTCATATCTTTCAAGCGTATTCAAGCTCAAGTTTATTTGACTCAAATAGTACAAACAATAAAAATAAAACATGTACACGAAAACACAGATCATGGTGATGATGGTTCTTGATCTTTTTTGTCCGTCTGTTGTTGTCGACGCATCTTTATTCGTTCTGCTGGATTATAGATTTGCATTGATGGACGAACTCTAATTTTCTAAAACGAAACGAAAAATTTAGTAAGCATTAAGTTATTACAAATTCAAGCTTAACCTTACCTTATCAGCTAAAATCGTTTTTGAACCCTTTTGTTCATCTCTGGAAATCGTTTGTCGTTGTTCATCATTTTGATTTAAATCCCCTCCTTCATCTCCACTGACACTTTGTTGTTCATCCGGTGTCGATCGTGATTTATCGGATTCCGATGCCCGACGAGTTAACATTGTTTCATTTTCTTCTTCATCTTCCTGTTTAGTTTCCATAACAGGATCATCAATCATCGAAGAAGAAGAAACGGAAGTACCAACAGGTTCAACTGAATCTACATCTTTCGTTGTAACTTCCTGTTCTTTTTCTACTGTCGTTTTTTCGACGTCAATATCATCATTTTGTTCTTTTGTTACCGGAATATTTTTTTCATTGCTAGTTGATTTTGTTGTTTTCACAGATGCTTGTTGATCATTTGATGCTCGTTTAGATGGATATTGTTGTTGTTGTTGTTGTTGCTGTTGTTTGTATGTTCCTTTTGAATAATTTTGATTTCTGTATCCACCTCTTTGATCGTATGATTGTTGTTGTTGATATGAATAATCTTGTTTTAATCGTTGTCTATACGATTGTTGTTGTTCTGTTGTATTCATTTGACTTTTTGAACTATCATCTCTGGACGCTGACGATTGTTTTGATTTTGTTAACTCATTTGAATCCGATTTCTTTTGAGATGATTCATTTGAACGATTTGTCTAAAAAATTACTGGTAGTAGCGATAACTTGAATATTATTATGAATTCAATACCTGTTGCTGTGAATAGTACGAATCAGATTTTTCATATCCACGTTTTTCATACGATTGTTGACGACTAAAAGAGATAAACAGTAAATAATGATTATTCTTGTCATTTAGCACGACTCACTCACTTAGATTTATCACTATATCGTGACTTTTGATTATAATCATCGTCTCGCTCACCACCTAAATTGTTCTGAAACAAAGGAAGAATGTAGTGTATACAAATTTACCAGGAAAATATTTTCTGTTATAGTGAATTCTTGCACGTGTTTCTACTATCAAAACATGTTATTTGCGTCTAGATATTAAAGTTCAGTATAAAAGTACGTACACGAGATAATTGCATTAATTCCTCCGGTTTTCTTATTTGTTTTGCACTTGTTCGATCATATTTCTGTTGTTGTTCAGTATCTGCTCGTGCTTGTTTTAAACTACGACGTTGGTCATCACGTTGACGACGAATATCTTTTTCTCTCTAGAAATAAACAAAGCCCTTTTAGTTTCTAAGAAAAAAAAAACATATTAAGAATCATACATCTCGTGCAAGTTTTTTTTCTTCTCTTTTTCGCTTTAAAAATTCCAGTAGTGGTGTAGTCGTTTTTGATAAACCATGATTAGCTAAATTGAAATATAAAGTGAAAGATTATTACGAGAGAATTAATGGTCAACATTTATCGAATTTATATGAAAATTATAAAAGAAAAAATGCCACAAGGAGGAACGGTTAACAGACCATGTAGTTCTTTTTGTTTTTTTTCAATTTCATCTAACATTGTTTCGGCATTTGGCAATGATTCATGTTCTGGTTCATTTAAATTTTTCAAAAATGCTTGATAGTCAGGATCTAGATTAAATTAAATTAAAATTTATTGATTTTAATATTTATTTGTTAGTAAAAACTAAAACCTTGCTCGATTGTATTTAATTTTGGATCTTTTCGTTCTTTGACCGTTTTTGGTTTTCGTTGACTCGGTGCATATTCAACAGAACAATAATATTCATTACCTTAAACAAAATATACAAAATTTGAATATCTAATATATTTTATTAAATTATTACCTTTTCCATCTATAAATACGTATCCTTCAAATTTTTCTGTAAATATGAGTAAATCCTTTCTATTTGGTATATTAATATAAGCTCGAGAAAATGCAAATTGCCCTAGACTAAAAACAAAATATATTATTTCTTTTTCTCTAATCTCAATTTATATATACCTATTATCCGCTTTATAAAATCGAAAATAATCGTGTTCGGGTAACGGTGAAACAGTTTCCATAAATTGTTCAGCAGTCAATGTAGGTGGTAATCGACGTAAAACAATCTAAAAAATAATCATTTCTAATTAAAATATACACTAAAAAATCAATAAAATGCCTTGGTTTGTGACTGATCGCCAAACGATTTTGAACGTTGATTTTCGATATCAACCATTTTAAAATTGAATTTTGTAGAATATCTAGAAGAAAAAGAGTATGCTTGTTTATTACTAACCAGTTATAGCATGTCTCAAATAAGATACAATTATTATGAAGCAAAAAATCAGACAAATATTTCTTCGAAGTTTATTAAAATATTTCTAAACTGTAGAAAATGGTGAAAGCGTCGAAAAGTTGCTATTAACAGCAACGTATAATCAACGTGTAGCATCAATCAACCCTGGACCGCAGCGAGAGGGAGGATATAGGGGAGTACATACACCCTCTGTTTTTTGGATTTCTTACTTCCTCCTGCTAATAACCTTTCTTTCAATAACTTTTTGGGGTCTCAAGAGCACATTTTCCCTTTTTCCCAAAGATTTACATTCCTGTTTTTTTCTCTCGCCACGGCACTGAATCGACCACAATTGCCACAAATCAAGCAATCTATCATCAGCAATCGAACAGGTTTCAAATCTTATCTCCACTTGTCTTAGAAACTTTTCGCAAGAACAACAAGTTCATTTTAGAATGATCACAACTTTTTTTTGCTTAGTAAAAAATGGAGAGATTCTCTACAACTAGCGTTAACAATTGTTTTCGATTTCAATAAGCAGATAAAAAATGTTTGATATCATCAAGAGAACTGTCTTAGTTCTCATCTAGATCAAATAATCAAGAACTTTAGCGAATATCGTTTACATAATTCTCAAAGATGGAGTAGTCTGAATGTTTTTCTACTGTAATATATGAAAAAAGCTATTATTTGGTAATTATCAGACCGAAGAAAGGAGAGGTTAAATTCCAGCTCCTTTGATAGTGACGTGCAAAACAAAAATTATCAAATGATGTGAATTATGTTAAGAAAGTAGAATCATGTTCTTCGTTTTAGAATGAAATTTTTAATTAAGCTATATTGATAAATGTATCTATAGCGCATACAAGTACATTTCCAAGTGTTCACAAACAAAATTGTCAGTACGAGTATCCAAAAGCTTTTATTTAAGTATACGTCGTCTATTAGAGTATTACTCATACTCAAATCTCTGGTAATTCTTGTGTTTTAATATTTCAAAATATAATAAGTAACCGTTAAAAATTTAAAAATAAGTTGGAATGTTCCTCTTTCGTGATACAAACCATTTATTTAAGGAGAAAAAATTTGTCGTGCAATTCTGCTCTTTTTTATGTACTTCTCTTTTCTTTCCTTTTTTTTATTGACACTCATTTCTTCTCTAGTCTAAGCACATTATTTTATTTTTTTGTTTTTTTTTATTGATATACAAAAAAAGTTACTTTGATATATAGAAAAAAGACCTTACGATCACAACATAAACAAAAAGAAAACATGCCTCAACAATTGAATGTAATAGTAGCGGGTGGAGGTAAGTTTTAGATGAAGTAAATAGCATCATGTAACAAGAATTTAACTTAAGGACCTGTCGGACTTACGTTCACATTGAATCTTGCGTTGATGTTTGGTGAAAATGTAAAAATAAGAATTTTTGAAGGACGTTGGTTAGCACGTGATGGTGAAATTATGTGGAACAGTCGAAGACGAGAACAAGTTGTCACATTACAAGATCATGTTATTGAACAAATGCCTACGTATATTCAAGAGGGCTTATTTAAAAATATAAATGAACGTGTCTGGCCTACTTCAAGAAATATTCCAATTCGAGAAGTTGAAGATAGATTATTCGAACTTATTCAACCATTTGTCAAAAGTGAAATAATTGAGTTAATACCAGAAAATTTACATGAACAAAGTGAATGTTTAATTAAAGGTGATTTTGATCTATTATTAGGAGCTGATGGAGCAGAATCATTTGTGAGAAATTACTGCAATATTGGTGTCTTTGTTGAAGGTTAGTTCAAGAGATTATAATAGTCAGGGCTGACGTTAATGGGAAGGGGAGGGAGAGGTGTGACATCGCCCAAAAAATAAAAAAATCCTCGATTTTTCCCAGCAGAAAAAAAAAATTTTCTTGCGTTCTTTAAAAAAGAATTCTTATCTCAGTGACGCACCCTCCCAAAGTCTGACTGGTCGCGACAGCCCTGATAATAGTATAAATAATTTTCTACGCTCATCATGACTAACTTGGTTCAACGTATCAACAGTCTCTTTTCCTTTTTTCTATTATTATAAACAGGAATAGAATATGCTTGCGGTGTTGCATACAACATTCCGGAGCAGGTGGAACCATCAGATGAACCATTACATCAAGCTTTGAACTGTATTTTAACAATATCCCAAACACGTTACTTAGTTAATTCATCGACAAGTCGTCAAGGTTTTTTAAATATTCGTCTGACAAAAGTTGAATACGCTGAATTAGAAAAAAGTTTAAAATCAATTCAAATTAATCACAATGGAATTCTTGATCTTTATAATCTCGACCAATGTCCTTATTCGCCTATATGGACAATAATTCGACAGGGTTTAGCTTTTTTTCGAATTGGACAAAAGTATGTTAAACGTGTTCAACCAATTGAAATTAAAGTGAGACATGCAGCAATTGCCGTTAGAGAATTAAAATATCAACAAGAAAAAAACTATAAAACAGCTCTTGCCTTCTTAGCTGGAGATTCGTTAATGAATGTTCATTTCTGGCCAGGACGTAAGTGAAAAACAAACACATCATCGATGATACTTATAGGACTACTATTTCTTTTAGGTGGTATGAATTCGGGAATGAAAGCGGCTGTGGCTTTAGCAAGAAACATTTTGACTGTATGTACAAATCCAACAAACAACCAAATTCAAATACAAACACCGTTAAAATTCTTAGACTTTTTAACGTATGAAGGATTTATGGCACGATTACGTGCACGAGAACAACAAGGTCGCTCACTGCGAGTATTAAACAATCCAATTGATAGTGCTCTTGAACAATCGTACAATTCTCTACGATCAATGGAATTTGAAGTATATAAAGAGCAATTAGAAACAAAATTAAGAGAAACGCGGAATCGTTTAGAGAACCGTGAAGATTGGCCACATTCTCCCAAGCATCATGTGTCCGATGAGGATATTCATCGTGCAACAAATCGTATTATTTATACGGCCGTTCAAGAATTAAATTTAGCTAATCCGTGGCCAACGAGAGAAATGAGTGGTCAAGAAGTTCTTATACAAGATACATATCCGAACGAAACAATTCACTATTTTACAGTACCAACAAAAATACTCGTACCTAAACCATCATTGAGCACACGAACAGCTAACATTCATCGACGAATAATTATTTTATGGATAAAGACGGAGGCAAAACATGAATTATTGATTAATTCAATCGAAAATTCCCCTAAGTTTTTGTCAACAGTACCTGCTTTCCGACGAAATGAATTACATGTTGTAAGATCAATTACTGAAATAACTCAATGGCTAAATGATCGAAAAACTTTGGTCAATTTACCAATTACTCGATTTAAAGTAATAATTGATCAACAACCAACATCTCTTGAGCTTGTAGAATTAGTGAGAACGTATGCAAAACATGCACCAATATTAATATTTACTAAAGAAGAGGAAACAATCACACTAGATTTTCCCAATATTTTACTAACTCATCTGGTGGTCGATATTTATGAATTTGTTGAACTTACTGTAGATCCCCAGTGGAAAGAAGGGCTTTCCGCCGAGAAATCTATAAATTAAGAGTAAGAATGTACGCTAAGCCGTTTGAAAACATATTACAAAAACCAGTATAAAAATTTCATATTAAAAGAATAATGATAAATTGGTTAGATAATAAATCACTCTCTCACAATATTTTAATTCAATTGTTTCAGATAAACTATCTCAATATCTCAAAAAAACAAAAACATGGAGAACAGATCCTAGAAAATGTATTCTATTCAACACTTAATGTTGTTAACGAAAACAAAAGATGATTATACGATTTGTTGTTTATTTGTTTTCTACAAAAAAACGGGTAAATACAAAATCTAAGAAAACAAGACAAAAAGAAAATATAAAAACAACACAGCCAATTGATAACCAGAAAATAAGAGTCACTGCACATTTACCTAAATATTAATTCATCCATTCACATACAGCTATAATTGCTCAAGTAAAGTAGATAAATTACGACGATATTTTTTATTGCGAAATTTGTGTATCGGTATTATTAACGTTTATACTTTGTTTAATTTTTCTTTGCACATATTGTCCACGATCAGCAGGCAATTGAATCTGAGAAAATTCAGCATAATCAATCTGAAATATAAAAATATAGTATTACCATAAAAAATGAGAACTTGCATAACGCTCAAAAATTAACGCTTTTAATTCGTAGTTTTATTATTGCTTAACTAAACGTTTCGATTAATTAAAATCTTCATCAGTAGTTGACAATATAAAACAACATGCTATAGAACAAATACAGTTTAGAACAATAAAATATAAAATTAATAACAACACTTTAAATCTATTCCATAGAAAAAGAATTAGTCCTTATTTATTTTTAAATTAATTTAGAATGATCAACTCTTACTTTAATTCTCAGATTATATTTGAGATTTTCTGTTCTTAACACTGTATTCTTAACTTCCTCTTTTTTATTATAAGAAAGGTACGGGAGTAGAGCCCTGCAGGTTACGTCTTTTTGACAACCTAACCTAACCTATTAATGCTTTTCGTAACCTAACCTAGGTTAACTTAATATAACCTTTTGCAATTAGTTCCCAAAACCTGGTTTCAGAAGCCTAAACTTCAGCTTTGTTCCATATCGTTATTGTTCTTTTATCTAAACACCGCCTGAACGGTAAGCTTATACAAAATAAATCACATTTTACATGAATATAGAAATTAATCGGTTGAGTCTTTCATTCTTTAATGCAATCTTTGGAAAATAGCTTTCTGAATAGGGAGATCCTCTTAAGAGTAGATCAGAATTCCACTTTAGGCTCTCGATGCTCTGTTCTTGGTGTGTATTTGTTCTCTGTTTTTAGCAAACGGAAGTTTTTTCTCTGCATTTCCTTTTTTGATTGTGCTACTTTTCAGTTTAAAAATAGTTCAGTTTAAACTAGAGAACGTTAGTCTGAAATTCATCCTCAATCGATCAAATTCCGTTCGGACTACGCTTTATTACTCATAGTGTTGGCTGTTTTAAGGTGGTCGTTCAAAATCGTTTTTTTTGTTTAGGTTAAAAATAGGTTATCAATAGTGTAACCTACAACCTAACCTATAAAACATTTCATAACCTAAACATAAAAGTTTAACCTGCAGGGCTCTATACGGGAGTTACTTATAGCAAGAAAGATAAATACAAGAAAATTAAGGAAAAAGAAAATCAAAATAATAAAAAAGAAGATAAAGAGGAAGTTAGGAATACAGTGTTAAGAACAGAAAATCTCAAATATAATCTGAGAATTAAAGTAAGAGTTGATCATTCTAAATTAATTTAAAAATAAATAAGGACTAATTCTTTTTCTATGGAATAGATTTAAAGTGTTATTATTAATTTTATATTTTATTGTTCTAAACTGTATTTGTTCTATAGCATGTTGTTTTATATTGTCAACTACTGATGAAGATTTTAATTAATCGAAACGTTTAGTTAAGCAATAATAAAACTACGAAAAGGAAGAAACAAGATTACAGTACTATCGATCTGGTTAGGAAGCTAATTTTATATACATTATGAATCAGAGTGAGATTTCTCTGAAAAATCTGTAAGTCCTGACGTTTTCAGAAAGTATGTTAGCAACACATAATAATGAAAATCAAATTTAATATTTTATTTTATTAATTTTAGGCAAATGATTCTAATTCTCGAATGATTTTTTTTTTGTTTTTTTGTTATCAATATCAAAATGCGTCATTTTAGATTTGATCAATCGCTGTTTTTAAGTGATATTAATTGATTATTATGACACAATATATATACATGTATACGTTGTGGTTGATGCTCCTCCTGACTTTAGCATCTGTAATAGAACCCATCCTTCCTAACCATTCATGTTTAAATGTGCTCTTGAAATCTGACATAATTTTAGTCTATGTAAAATTATTTTTTTACCTCTTTTCAGTACATAATACACACATCAACAGCGGATAACAAGGAAAGAGAGAAAGCGTTTTTTCTTTTTTGTTGATTTATTAGTTTGAAATCTTGCAAGAGATTCATTCGTTGATTGGGATGTGTGCGACTTTAAAAGATAGATATATGATATATATGTCTGTTTTACTGTTTATGTTGTGGTCACTCTGTTTTTTGTTCTTATATTAGTGTGGGACAGTATCTCAACGTATAATCGAGAGACATATAGAACTATTAGCGGATAAAGCTGACAGAATATGCAGTACTGATAGTTAACAGAAATTAACTATCACCTTTGAAGAAAAGAAAGTAATAATAAGGAAGCGACGAATATATATATATACTGTGTCTACCGTGCATATATTTGCACAGCTGATGATGATTACAGTAGTAATCGAAAGCTTCATGTTTTAACAGGATTGTTGAAATTGTACAATTAATTTTTTCGTATCCAGAAAGGCAATAAAATAATACCCGAAAATCAATATGAATTATAAAAAAATCGATGAAAACATGGGAAAAAGTGTTTTTCTCTCTTCAATTTTTTTTTTAAAAAAATCTCGGAATTTTCGAAATTTTACTTGAAAATTCTGACAGTAAATCATTTCCTTAGAATTTCATCTGTCTATTTCATAATTCGAGTTTCGAGTACACACATTCGCGTGCAAACTATATAGAAGATACTTTACATACCAGAACGCATTTGTATCCCAGTGCCGTTAATAACCTATATTGTAATGCCATCGATCCCGATATTGACTTTGTTATTAATGTTTTATCTTGATAATCTAAACATTTTATTGCTACTCTAAAAATATAATAAGAGAAAAAAACACGATAGATTTGATTTTTGTTCAGCATATATTGAACAACATACTTAAATCGATTTTCATCTATCCGAACTTTATTAAATGCTTGATTATTTGAATCACCAGTTATTATTGTACTTAAATCTTGAGGTTGTCCAGTTTTATCAACAACCATCAAACAATCTAAACAAATTCATATCAAATTAGAGTCTTTAATATTTTTTCTAATTATGAGTAGAAAAAATTACCAATAACAATCATATTCGATGTAATAACGCTAAATTTTGAAAATTTATTTTCTGGTGCGAATGTTGTTACCGCTTTAGCTAATTGCTCTTGAATATTTGAACTTTTCATTGTTAGCTGCTACAAAAAGAAAAAAAACAGGCTAAAAAAGCTGATTACAATCATTGCTACAATGAACATATTTACCTGAGCTAAATGTTCAACACTAAATGGTGGTTTCAAAAATTTTCTTGAAAATTTTTGTAAACTATACGAATAGATAGATAAAAGTTTGAGTGCACTGGCTATTTTTGAATTTGCTATTTCATCTAGAAGTAGAAAAATATAAAAAAACTGATTTAAAACAATCGAAGTAAGAAAACGATAAAGAAAAAAATTTATCGAAAAACATCTTTTTCTTTTCTCTATTATTCTATTTACTTTGTACATGTTGAAATGTATAATGTTCTAGAACAGTTGATACATGTTCTGGAGTAGCTCGATTTAAAATAGCCAATGACCAAACTAAATCAATTTTATTTTTATTATGAATACTATCAGCATCGACTTGTGTTAAACTTGTTGTAGGTGTTTGTTCAGTCATATCCGCTAATACTGTATTTTCATTTAAATTTAATTTATTATCAGTAATAAGAGAATCTAATAGTGTTGTTGAATTATAATTGACGGCAGCACATGTACGAATAAATGAATGTAAACATTTTTGACTTGTACCAAATACATGATTATTTTCAACAAGTAATGTACCGAGATGATCCAATAATTCACAGTGACGTAAACGTAACGTACCCATTGATGTTACCAATGAATGAAGCTAAAAAATAAATAAAAGATAATGTAAAGTTTAGAATTTTCTTTTTTAACTACTATTGTTTGTTCTTACCATAAATGGATCATTAATATCATTTGCTTGTTGATAAGCATCTTGAATTAATTTTTCTAAAAATATTTTATCGTGTATACTTAACATTGAACAAGCAAATAATGAATCTCTTATTTTATCTAATGGTAATATAGGTGATTTTAGTAGATGATAACATGCTGCACGCAATATTGTACGATCACGTCGTTTTAACATTGATTTATTAATTAAAATTTTATACCAATCATCATAAGTTAATGTTTCAGCTATTTCTAAAATTCGTTCATCGAGACGATTTATCAAACGATCATTATATGATAATTTGTATGTAATAGCTAATATATCACGAATATTATCAAATTCAAAATATCGACCTTCAGCTAATGTTAATAAACGATTATAAATATGATGTAACCATTGTGCTGTATGACGATGTAATTTTAATAAGTCAAGTATACGAACAATCTAAATGAAAGAAGAGAAAATTTGGTATTATTATTTTTATAAACAATGATCAAGGATATCTACCTGGTGAACAGTTATTCGACGTAAACGTGCTGATAATCCCACAGATACTTTTTCAGTAAATTCATTATCTTCAATATAAAATTTCATTAGAAAATTAATTGCTGTTACCACTTCTGGATCAGTGAATTTAGAAAGCTAAATAAAAGATTATTTGCTTCAACGTTTATCTTGACTATAATAAGAAAGAATAATTACTTACAAATGATAATAATAATCCTTCTATTCTTGTTCTTGAATCATCTGATTGTAAATATATTTTAAGTACATCTGGATCTCCGCTTGACAAATCACACAATTTCTAAAACGAGAGAGAGATAATAATTCATTTAAATAGATCTACACATCGCATTATATGACCTACTTGTAAGCCAATAGCAAATTCTACTGGTAAAATGTATTTATCAAAAATACTTAATAATTCATTGATATTAGTGGATTGTCTAATCATTGCAGTTAATGATCCAGAACGTTGTTGAGTTGCCGATTGTTGTTGTGAAGAGTCAGAAAACTTTTGTCTAGATCGCTAGAGAATACAAACAAAATATTCTCTAAACTCTGTTATCATCGGCGATTATTCGTAGATGCATGCTCTCTTACAAGGGAACCTTCGCGACTGTTCAATCACATTTTATAGAAATATATTTAATTATAGATAATTTTTGATACTGATCACAAATTTGATACTCGTTTTTCACGATTGAGTCTACAAAAATTCGATCTCTAGAAATCCACTAGGAAATTTTCGTTGAACAAATTCTTATATGACAAGCTTTTAGAGCATATCATACTGCTTAATTTCTCTGTAGTATTGAACTTGTACAGTTTTTTTCTCCACTTAAAATTTTTGTAACTTAGCAAAAATTTCTGTTTGCTGCATGGGTGACTCAATGTGCTCTACAAACTAGCCATATCAGTTTATTTAACTAAAAGTTCATGGTAGATCTCTTGAGACTAGACGTCTAAAAGTCCAATCAGGAACGGCCTGTGGGACCAAACAAATATTAACTTTGTGGTCGGCATCAAAGATTATCTGTCAATAAAAAATGGTGCGACAGTTGAAAATGTTTCCTTATTACTTGAACGAAAAGATCTAACTTGTCTTTCTAATGTTCATATATCTCAAAAGATCAAAATTCTTTTACCAACTGTTCATCTTGTTGTTTTTCTTGATAAGGTTGTTGTTGTCGTCGTTCTTTTTGATCTTGTTCTGGTGATTCAAATAAATTATCGGTTGTTGAGAGAGGTGATGCATGTAAAATAGATTCTAGTCGTTGTGAAACATCACCCGTCAAATTCACTTTCGATGATGGATACTTTTTTGATGATATTTTTTGTTGATTTATTTTATTTCGATTAATAATATCATTGTCAGGAAAATTATCATGAGAAGCATGGGCTTCTCTTGGTGTTGGCTTTTTGCGAGTTTCAGATTTTATAGATGATGGCAGTTGTGATGTTGTTGAACTATCATCAAACAATTGTTTAACATCAATTTTACGTAGACGAACAGAATTTTTTTTAGGTGGCTAAAAAATTGGAAGAAAAAGAATAGAATACTTTTCAGATGATCTATCTTTTCTCTTTACTTGCTCAGTAACTACAGCTGTTTGTGTATGATACTCAGTTTTACTTGTTGTTAAAGGAATTAATCGGCTACATGGTCGAATCAAACGGAACATCTAAAACATCACGGAGAATATAGTGTTTGTTTCTAATAAATATTACCTTTCGAACATCTAGTACAAAGTAGAGGCGGTAGATCGTCTCAAAATTGGATGTTAATTTTTAACTCGATTCATTGGTTGAAAGTCGTCAAGACTACATCACACGACAGATAATTGTACAAAAGATTTCAAATCGAACCTTTTTTTACTCAAAAAAGATACTAAATACAAACACACGCAAGTATTTCCTTTAACTCAATGAGAAAATTATCTTCTGCTGTGAAAAATAGTATCAATTAATCACAGTTTTGACTGAGCTAAAATTGTTGAACAAACCATACTGAATCTAATGAAACTTTTCTGTAGATCTAAGCTTGAGTTCAAAACTGACGCAAGCGTACTTCAATCTGAACTTCAAAAATGACTATTTACTCCACTATAGGAGCGTATTTTATGAAATATGAAAATAAAACGGAATTCTGATTATTTCATATTCTTGTTCTTTTTAACGATTTGGTTAACATTCAAATATTTTACTACAAACGAAAACTGTGTATTTGAAATGAAATTGATTATCAAACATTCAATATTCAATCGACTATTACCAAAATTTATTCAATTTGTGTACATTGATGCTCATCATTTAAGAAGATTTTTGACAACGATGAATAATCAAATGAAAATATTTCAAAAATCACGTATTTTAACATTTATCCTACAAATTAAATAGTTTTAAGCTATTTGTGTTTTGTATAGCTTTGCTGCCAAAGTATATCGAAATTCTTCCAACGACAAACGAACGAATGCTATCAAGTCTAAATTTGATAGATTCTGAATTACCGATGATGGAAATAAATTTACTGCTTGTCATGTTCATTTGTTCAATATTCGCAAGAAACACATTTTTTTTAAAAATAGTTGCATCATATAATGGACAAACTCTTATTTTGACGTTGTACTCAAATCAAAGCAAAGCTAAGAATAACCTAGCAGTAAATTCAATCGATATTTAATATTATAAAATACTCGAATCAGATGTATATCAAACAGATAACGAAATATTTCTAGAGTCACCATTCACACGCACATTTAATCGAACTGAAATGGTGCATGTTAACGCCGCTTAATAAATATAACAAGATTAATCAAACGAATAGATCAAAAATAGAAGGGTGATACTAAAGTATAAAACATTCCTCTCTCAAGGAAAAGAAAACAGTTCTTAAGTCTTGTTAAATTAATTTTGAGGCTCTTAGTAAGGCGTTCATCGTTCTTCCCTTGACTTTAGTCTAGAGTCTTACAAAATGATTGTCTGTCTGAAGCTGTGTGTCTGTGTGTGTGTGTGTGCAAAATACGGAAAAATGGCTGTCAGATATTCTATGGATAAGCGAATCACAAGAGAGAAAAGTAGAAAATTATTTTTTACACAAGAGAGAAAATATTCAAAGAAATGAGTGAAAAAATAATTACTGAAGCAGAGAGAAATAAAACTAAACAAAAGTTTCTGTCGTTGGGAGATAGATACCGCTAGAAACCAGTCCATTTTTATAACATTAAAAAAGTCATCTACGGATAATAAAACTTATAGAATATAGATAGTCTGTTATGGCGCATCCATCGGAAATACTTCCAGTATTCCTTCGGACTTTTTAGCTTTATATTGGGGTACATCCATTCAGGTCCTCTCAGTCTATACACCCTAGTCCAACATCTTGAAACCAAGATCTTGCCCAAGATCTTACGTTAAGATTTGGCACTAGATCTTGAAAAAATGGGTACAAGATCTCAGGACATTTTTGTACCCAAGATCTTACGCAAGACCTT